AGTACCCGTTAACAAGAAAATCGAAATTAAAGCATTATTGGAATTTCGGATAACACAACGTCGTATTGCTACTGATCTTGGGGTTTAAAAAAAATGTGTTTACAACGTCTCAAAGAGGCTCAAGGAAAATTTGCCTCTGCCAAATGCACCTGATCAAGGTCGTAAAAAAGCATCAACACCAATTGATGATCGAAATTTACTACGATTATGCAAGAAATATCGAACAAAATCGAGTCAAATATTATCATCTGAACTGATATTGTCAAATGGTAAACACTTGAGTGCTCGAACCGTTCGTCGTCGGTTGCTAGACATGAACTACAAAAGTTATCAAGCAAAAACGAAACCACTGAGAACACTTGCGCACAAGAAACAACAATTTTTGTTTGCACGTGAACATCAATATTGATCTCAGGAATGGAATAACATTATTTGGAGTGACGCGGCACACTTTGAAGTGCTAAACAGAAAGAATCGTACATGCGTTCGTCGTCTACGATCAGAAGCTGATCAACGCTTCAATTTTGTTCCAAATGTGCAAGGTGGTGAAGGTAGCATTAGCGTCTGGGGGTGCATGGCAGGTGGTGCTAGAGGTCCATTAGTCATATATTCTGGTAAAGTTGATGGACGCGCATATGTTAAGATCATCGAAGAACTCTTAACATCGTTTATTGAAAACGCATTCGACTCATCCAACAAAAATTGGATGTTCATGCATGACAATGCACCACCGCATCGATCTAAATATGTAGAATAATTAATATAGATAATTGTATGAATACTGGGAAGAAATGTCTTCTGCCACTGAGGAGAATTATTTTATATTTATTTTTAAAATTAATGGGTTTTTTCTGATTTTCCCAAAATTTTATTAGATTATTTCTTTTTTCCTTGAGATTCATAACTCAGTCTACGAAATTCGTGGGCTTATTCAATTAATTAAACATAGTCTACTTGATTCAATTACATCAAGCGACACGTCATATTCACTTTCATTAATTTACATTGCGATGAATCGTCCATGCGACGAATTATCCACGCGATGAATTGTCCGCGACGAATTGTCTCGCGACGAATTGACCTCGTACCCATCTAATAATCAAATTCGAATGATATATGTACGACGCATTTATAATATTTCTGTTTTCTATTTGTATTCGTTTCAATTTTGTTTTTCATCATTCCCTTTCGTATTTAGCGTTGGAGAAGGTAAACTTATTTAGAGTAATACTTCCTCATCGTAACAATATAAATGATCAAATAACTATACTTTTATATTTGACGAAAAAAGGTCGATTATTTCATGCGAGAAGATTTCATTTTGAAGACTATTAAAAATACAAATAAATTTCATCTTTTTCATTACTTGTTCTTTACTGTTTCTTTTTAAATATAGAAACTGAATGTTCATATCAAGATTTAATTGAAAAATAAGTCATAAACGTTGAGCAATTTTTGTATACATGTAAAACATCATCCAGAAAAATAAATATAAAAGATCGTCAATAATTGTTATTGGTGCATATACGATGTAACACGACAACATAAAAGATCAATTAGCGGCCTAGTCAATATTACAAGATTTGTTTTTTGTCACTCTTAGGAATGCTTGTGATCTTTACGATCAATTGCATAGCAATCAATTAAAACCATCAAAGACCACTTTATGTAGTGAACGGAATGTTAAATTTTACAAATAGAAATGAAATTTATTTGATCTCGATTGCTTACCAATTGTCTATTTCTTACAAATAACAAAAATGACTATAAATAGCAATAATTTTTAACGTTAGAAATCATTCCCCATCTTTCTTTCTCTTCTTCTTACATTACTATATTACATGTATATTTTATTGTTTAACTATTTTAGCTTGTATTCGTACTGATCATGGTTCAATATCATAGGTAAGTATTAGTTTTATTTTTTAAATTTATTTTCGTTGTCTCAGCTTTTTATACCATTTATTTATTTTAATTTTATATGATAATAATTATCTTTCTATTTCCATTTTAGTTTCAATTTTATTTTTTTATTTTCTATTTTAAACGCTTATAATTGTTTTTCTATTATCTATTTTAGTGATACAAAACAAAGTAAGTATAATTTTGTATATATGTATATTGTTTACGTCCTACGGAGGCCTTCCATGGTGCCCATAGCATGTACAGGCCGCATATAGATCTTCCTGTTGTATGTTCTATACACGCTAGATCTATGCCTGTACGTGAAGAGCCTTGGCTCTCTATGGCACCACCAAGGTAGTTCTTGGTCGCGCGAGCGTCTATTAACTGGTAAGCAAAAAAAACATTTTTCATTTTAATCAATTCATTTCTGCTTATTTCGTTTTAGTTCATCTTGATTTCTTCAACAGCAAAGTAAATATAATTACCTTCTCATTATCTTATTCCAAACAAATACAATTAATTGTTATTTTTATGTTTTAGTTCCATTCAACAATTAAATTCAATTCAATTCAATCCAAACGAACACAAATGTAAGTATACATATTTTTCAGTGTTGTTGTTTATTGTTTGTAACTATTTTTTTTTTTCATTTTTAAAATAAACATTTTCAAATAACTCAAACTTTTTCTTTTCATTTCAATCATACATATTTTCACTTCAACAGTAAATATTTTTATGCTAACAATAAATAATTTCAAAATAACACAAATCTTTTTCTTTTCATTTGAATCATCCATATTTTACAAAATAATACAAATTTTCATTTAAATAATACAAAATTTTATTTTTTCATTTAAATCATGAATATTTTATAAAAATAACACAAATTTTATTTTTTCATTGAAATACTAAATATTTTCAAAACGAGACAATTTATTTTTTTCACTTTAATAATTAATATTTTTGGCAAAAAAATAGCAAATTCTTTTATTTAATTCATTTCTTTTTATTTAACAAGTAAATAAAAGAAGAAGAAGAAAAGAAACATATGACGTAATCTTATATTTTAGCTTTTTTCTTTTCTTTGAAGCGAAAGAGTAGAAGAAAATTTCTTTTTCTTGTTCATTTATTTCAAAGTATAGAAAAAGAAACGAACAAAGAAAAAACAATTCATAAATCTCATTCGATAGAAAATCGTTGAACACGATTATTAAACTCATCGGCGACATAGAGATTACCATGTCGATCGAAAGACAAACCAACGGGGCCGTTGAACTGAGTTGCTCCTTTTCCTTGACCATTTCCACCCACAATTACAGTGCCTTGTTTCTTGTCTACTTGAGTCCAACGCATTACACGATTATTCCCCTGGTCTGCTACATAGAGGGTACCCAATGTATCAACGAAGATTCCATTAGGACTATTCAATTGTGTCAGAGCACTCCCTTCACCTTGTTCTCCAGCGACAACAATACCTTCTTTTGCACCTTCCACCCATTTCATTACACGGTGATTCTCTTTGTCTGATACGTACACTGAATGATCTCGATCGACAAAGAGAAATGTCGGGTAGTGGAGTTGATTGAGTCCATTCCCATAGTCATTACCACCAGCTACGAGAGTGCCATTCTTCTCACCCAATTGATATCGTCTTACTTCATCCTTTTCTGTGTCACAAACGTAGAGATATCTCTGTTCATCCATTGCTAATCCCCAACAGCCGATCTTGTCGATGAATATTTCACCTGGCGTTGTACCACTACGACAAGGCCATTGTACAACTCGTCGATTCCCATAATCACAAATAATGAGACTATTCGTCTCTTTGTCAATTAATACATCTGTTGGACGATTCAATTGATGTAATCCATTTCCTTGGCCTTTACCACCAGCAAGAACTTGTCCATTCGTTGTATTACCGTTCTTCCATTGCATGATACGATGATTATTGTAGTCAGCAATGACCACTGTTTGATCATCATCAACGAAGAGGCCATAAGGGTGGTTGAGTTGATTAGTGGCACTACCCAACCCGTTACCTCCAGCAATAGTCACTCCGTTTTGTGCCCATGTAGTATTAGCAGGAATATTAACTAGAAGAGAAAGAGTAAGAAAAAAGGAAATCTTTCCAGAGTATAGCTAGTATATAAAATAATTTCGAAAGTATCGAGTAAAATTCTTTGAATAGATCCTTCTTTTTTTCTAAAAATTCCTCAGAATAAGTTTTTTCTATACTGGAAAATTATTCTATAGAAAGAATCACACATATAGCATATCGTTCTCTCTCTCTCTTAAACGTATTTAAATTCTATATTTTTGTAGAAAATCAAACTTAAAATAATTAAATCTAGTTAACCCAAGCAGACATGAAAGAGTCATTCAATCGGAATTTCAAGTGATGAACTCTATCTATTTTCCCTTTTGTGAAAGTAGAACATATTAAACGATCAAAAAAATGGCATGGAAAGAACATATCTTGAGGATGTGGGTGGGGTGTATAGCGAGATAATTAATCGAAACTCTTGTAAGTAGTACACAGCCAAGAATACTAATGAAAATTGAATCGATTTTCTAATAATTTTATTGGCATAAATAATTTGCCGAACTCATCGAAATGTAAAATAAATATTTTTATTATTATTATTTAAAAACAAGCAAGAATGTTTTGGACAATACCAACTTGTAATAATTTATTCAATAATGTGTTTACAATAAAACAAGATAGCAATATTGCACTGCTAATAATATGTGCGTATGTTTCTCAATACAAGATAAGTCTAACACTATTTACATTCTAATAAACTATTTCTTCGAACAACTCAAATTTTAACTACTCTCTGACTTATAGTACTGCCTTTTGACCCCAATATATCGTGAGCTAGTATACTAGAGAGAGAGAGAGAGAAAGAAAAGAAATAAACAAAATACACGTGTGCAAGAAGATGAATAAAATTCTATGAGATCATCGTTGATAGGAGGGATGATGATGATCAGAACAACAGATAATAACAATACGAAAATTTTGCTTTTTGTACAAGTAAACAAAAACAAAACGACAACACATTGACCTAAAGAAAGAATTCTTTTTTATCGATCCATTAAAACTTACTGTTCGGTCGGCAGCACTTGCACCAACACGAGTACCTCGATAACCATGAACAATTTGTCCTCGCTGAAAAACAAAGAGCCATCATAACATCATAAATATCAAATACGATTTGAAATTATTTACTGCAATATCCCAAATATAAATCGCTTTGTCAAATGAACCAGTTGCTAATAAACGACCATCTGGACTGAAAGCAACTGAATAAACAGATTCTGAATGTTTTACAAGTATATTTTGACAAACACCACGTTCAACATCCTATAAACGTACAGGTTGATTCATCTATTTTTAGTAGTTTTATTTTCATTATTATAGAAGAAAGAAAAACATT